TATATCCACAACCTGGATTACTTATATGTACAGTATTTAATATCTATTAAGACAAAAATATATTCGTAAGAAAATTCTATTTTTATATTTAATAGTATAGTTTTATACCCGCAATATTAATGTTACTGTTTGACAACGAAGTCATACCTGTCCGAACACCTTCAGCTATGACCAACATTACGATATTAAAGATTTTTTAATAGTTACCGCTATGACTTCCAAGTACAGATGCCTTAAATACTGTCCAAGCATCTCTACACGCGTTCAACCAGATGTATGAACGAGATTAATGACAGACACAGTACACTGTAACTGTGGTTATATAGCAACACTGATGGTACATAATTATTATTATAACCTAACCGCCCTCCTCTCCGGTGTGTAATCTTGAAATCTAAAGGTCAGAACAAATATTCGATTTGTATAGTAAAACGTTACCTAACCTGTAAAAGATAATCACTATACCGCTGGACCACCCTGTACCTAAATCACTACACTTCTGGACCATCCTGTCCTTAAACCGCTATACTTATGGACCACCCTGTGTAATGACCACGGTCATACACGTCAGTTAACGTAAAATCAGACGATTCATATTACGCTCAATAGCCCAAAAACATGCAGCTAGGCCTTCATTTGAGTCCCCCGTCGGAAGGGGGCCGTTTTCTCATTACTTCAGGACGCCTGAGTCCTCCGTTATCTCTCAATCTTAGAGTGCACCCGAGACTTCATTATTCCTTAGTAATGACAGAATTTGAAATTGCAACGGAGGATGCAATTAGTGAGGCAACCTATATGGCATCACGAATATTGTGACCAAGTCCCAGGTTGCTGATCTGCCTTTCTGCCTCATTTACACACAATTGCTGGGTCTCAATTGTTTCTCTTACTATTGACAACACAACATACTGACATATAGCGTTTCTAACTATTGATTATTATTTTTTCTTTATTATCATTATTACAGTGTTATTATTATTATTGTCATTATTATTTTATTTTACTTTTTATTATAAATTTTATTTACTATGAATTACTATTATTATTATTATTAAATTTTCGCCCCCCAGGCCCCGATGTGGGTCAGTGACCTGTGCCCAGGTGGGCTAATCCCCTTAAAAAAAAATGTCTGTTTACAGTTGGAACATTCAAGATACATTGTGAGTGGTGTTGAAAGCTTCAACTGTCCTTATTGTTAGTAAAACTTGTCAAGTGGGTGTCGAGTTTGTCAGACTGAATGGCATATCTTTATGTCGTCAGTGGGGATAGCCATGAGTTTCCGATCGTTACTGAAGTTATATTATTTTGTTGCCCCGACATCAGGGAATCTGATGTGTGTAGTTTAGTTAGTGTCAGTTGTCTATTTTAGAGTCGTTAATCTACTGAAAAGATTCTGTCAAACTCAAAATCTCCAAGACCTAACGGCTGTTCCTCCTGGGCTGTGGTCTGTGGTTTCTGGCAAGTAGAGTTGTTTGTGCGTATGTAACTCAATTTCACCTCTTTCCTGACAAACTCAATCTCTGATTAGATCATAAAAACAGATGTAGGAAATTAGCCTGATCTGTGACACTGATGGTCACAGCTAGGTGTATAGCGACCAATTTGAATAGAAGGTAACTCTGTTACCCCCCCCCCCTCCATCCTCTCTCCTGATTCCCAGCTAAGGCAGTAATGAGAGAGAGAGAGAAGAGATAATTAAATTGAAACAGTTTATTTAGCCAGAAAAACGCAGATACAGAGTGAATAATAAGAACAATATTAACATGGCTGAGCCAGTTGAGAACCTGAGCTGCACCTGATATATACTATACATTTATCTCAAGGAAGTATTATGTAACATTTAGTATCATCTGGAATAGTACAATAGCCTGGTGGTAATAAGAACATGTTGCCACGGTTATCACTTCAATATTTATTAATTTTATTATTTTTTATTTTTTATTTATTTTTTATTATTATTTTGTTTATTTTTTTATTTATACATACACACACACACACACACACACATATATATATATATATATATATATATATATATATATATATATATATATATATATATATATATATATATATATATATATATATAAATAAATAAATTAGAGTGGAATTTAAAAACATAAGAGAGAGAGAGAGAGAGAGAGAGAGAGAGAGATGCAATTAGTAGATAAGTAAAAGGACCACGTGAAGCACAAATAAGAGCATTAAATATAACGAAAATAATAATAAATAAAAATTAAGGATTTGCATAGGTTAATTAGCAATAAATATAAAAATAAGTTACCCATATAGCAACACCATTTTCTACACCCATAATAAAAAAATACGTCAAAAATTATGGGATACCTAAATTAATTTTTGATAGTCAAATGGTATTCTTAAAACAGTTGTAGTGAGCAAGTTTCTTAAAATATATGGTATTATTGCAGTCTCAACCAATATGGCTACGAGTTGAGCAATGTGTCGCTATTATTAAACTGCGACAGCAAAAGTAGGGTTCAGAAGATAACTCTTTCAACAAGATCTATTATTTTTTTTTAAGTATAAAACCTGAAACTGCATATTGGTTGAAAATGCAGCAATACCAAGGTGTTCATTCTAGGTTATGTTATGTTAGATTTTTTGGGGAGGGGGCGGTTGGGCAACGTGTTTTTCCGATGGGTTCTTTTACGTTTTTATTCGTTTATGTTGATTTTTGTTGGAAATACCTTTTTTGGTAGTAAAACGATTGATTTACGACAAAAATAAATATAACAATATAATAAAACAAAAAACATCGGAAAAACACAATGCCCAACTCGAGTGACGTATTGGCTGGAAATGGAAATTTACCAAATATATAATATATTATTTCCGTACTTACATGCTGTTAGATGTTGAAGCACTTGTTGATGTTTCTTCTCCCCCCGACCCCTCCTGTGCCGTACTTATCTTGAACAAGGTTAAATCTAGGTTTGGTGGGAGTACGGGTAGTGTGCAGTTGTGGGAGAGATGAGCTGTCACGAGGTAAGCCACGCTGTAATGGCTGATACCTTATGTGCATCACTTTTCTATTTTTCCTTTGGGTAATTCCTTTCAGCCACAACGACATGCCGGGCAGGTCCTTTCCCACTAGGACTGCTTGTTGAAGGGCCAGACAAACTATCATTTGCACTAGAAGAGCCAGGGACACTGGGAGAGGCCTCAAGAGGCACCACACTATCACCACATGGTGCAATCTTGTACTTTGTACATTTTCCCTCCCCTCACCTTCGCCAGCAACACAAGGCATGGTTCAAAACTATCACAACATTGGTAATAGTAAATTAAATCACTGTGATGGTCAAAGTCACACCCTACACCATGAACCACACAGGGCGACTGGTGACGTGGAGTCGTTGAGGAGGCAGGCAGTCTACACCTGTGCCAGATCTCACCGACGGTGCCAAATGTGCACACGAATCTTGCGTCTCTAGCATTCATTCACTTTCCTATCTCCTTAGGCCCCCTTATATACCATGACGCATACAAATATTGGCGATAATCAAAGAATAAATCATAGTCCAAAGCATTTGTTCATTTCAACCCAAATCCAAAACATCCTGTGAATTGTAATCGCCAAACTCTCACAAACGTTAAACGCATTATTTCGCGGACCCCAGTTTGAGAATCACTGCCTTAGAGTACCAAAATCCACCCAGGCCCAAAAAATGTTTAGTGAGTGCGGCAAAGCGAATGACTTCTGCATGCCAGGGGGAGATGACCCCAATACACCACCTCGGCCACGCATACGTTTGCTATATCGACGAGACTTCCTGTGATGTCATCGTTGGACACCAGCTCGGCTCCTCCAAACATTCAATACTCTGTCTGGCTGTTGACTACTACTCTCCCCACGGTACCTTGAACACTCTTGATCGTTTAGCTGCTCAGATTAGTTGTGTCCAATGTTGGAGACGAACAACCTGCCTTTATCCTTTAGATGAGATATCACCACACCACCAAGTCAACCAGATTTCAGGTGGACGACATGAAGGACGTTAAGGAGTACGAGGCTTACCCAGTCCCTTACTTTAATCCTCTTTTCCGTCTCCACACCACTTGAATCTTCCCTCCACGAGCAGTTTTCTTCAACTGCTAACGAAAAAGAAAATATGGCAGTTTTTTTAATCCCATCATTTTCAGTCAAGGAGCATTTAATGTTACCAGTCTGTTTTTATGAAATGTTTCCCTTCCATAACTTTAGGAAGGCTTCATGGGTTGTAAATAGGTTCATTACATATGGTAACATTGCATTATTGATAGATATACTGTACCTGAATTAAATTTAGTAATCATCTATATATCTACTGGTTATTTGCCACTCGACTCCTTTTCAAATTATAATACAGTTAAAAAGATTATTTTGGTGGAAATGAAGTATATTTAGAGGCATTTCTGATTATATCATTGTTTTGCCTTAGATAAACATTTGTGACCTGCTGACTTACTATTAAACAGTGTATTCATTTTTTGAAGAGCCAAGATATGCATGTTTAGTGTTTCACATGTGCATGACTATTACCAGCTTCAACAGAAAGATGGCAAATTTGGTATGAATACATGCATACGTCTGGAAGTCGAGTTGTTAAGTATAGATGGAGCGAGAAATGGTTAGGTTATGTCATCAATGAAGCTTTTGGTGAAATGGATATTTATCAGCAAGTACAGTAAATTGGATAGATGTGAAATACTTTTAGTTAATGAAACAGTTGTAGGCAAAGGCAATGGCTGTGACAGAAGGAACATTGTCTATATATAGTTTTTTCTGGCATTCAGATCTTGGTAGTAAATGCTAGGTAATATATATCATGATACTACTAATTCCCAGGAACATTTATTGTTATTTTCTAGACAAATTATGGCTTCACCACGTTAGTGTCCGGTCTAGTATATCTCCTATAACAGAGTCTGGAATGACAAGTACAGAACACATATCTATGATAATTTCCTGTTGCTGGCAGGTGTAAGAAAACGGTAAAAATTTTCAAACACTTTATTGTTGAATCCAGCACTTGGAGTAGATCCAAAATCTTGAACTTTTAAAATAAATGATAATGTTGTGACCAGTTTTCAAAATTTTCCCTTTATTAACATGGAAACTGAGGCAGGGAATCAACAGGTAACTTAACACTCTGGCACAAAGAGACATTCCCTTAATGTCTCTGGGTGGTATGAGCACTAGATGGTGCCCGGATAGTTTGAGTCGTACTAACAGAGCATGTAAGCTCCTCCCCTGCCTCTAAGAAAAATTAAGAGTCTAAGTGACATTAGTGCTGCTTTATAACAAGATATATTTGCCTTGATATTTAATATTACTCTTACCATTAATTATTATGATATCTTTATCTCCTATGTACAAAGGCCGACCCACAGCTAGTTGCTTTAGTACGAAGCTTGGAAGGATGACAAGCACGACATCACACTGTATTTGGCTACCACACTGAACCACAGTGTTTGCTGCAGGTCACGCAGAGGCAATGGTTCCTTGCTTGTCACAAGTCTCCTCGACAACAAGACCTCCATCAACCGTTCACATACAGTATGATCAAATAATTTAAACTCTAAAACAACAAGATCCTACACCTGGCAGCTAGATTCAGCACAGTTTTTGTGGTAAACATAAATCAGTTTTGTTGCCACTGAGATTCATTCTGAATGGTTAAACAGACAACCAGGCATTTCAACCACTCTTAATTCATCTATCCACAAACTAAATATGTGTTTACACCAAAAACTAAGCTTCAACATGACTTGGTAGAAGCTGAGCAGGAACTACAGAGGTAGAAGGCTCAATTTTGTTATGATGAATGCTCTTGGGATAACAATGAAGGAAAATAACCAGTATTTTATTACACTGTAGTCATGCATTCGTCCTACTTCATGCGCACTTTCTAAACGGGCTTCACTCTCAAGGTACAAAGCATAAGGTTTGGAGCTAGGAATTTTTTTTTTGCATACCTAGGAGCTAGATGAAAAACCCTACCTCTACCAATGACCGGCTTCTAATAAAAAAAGGAGAGAAAAAGCAAATTCAGTGTGCAAAGCTGGTACTTTAGTGTGGAATGTTACGGACCCAATGTGTCACTTTTTGAGAAATTTCAAGAACCGAAGCAGAGTTTAGAGCAGATTATAAGGCATTACTATGTAAAGGGATCAAATTAAATTACACATTTACTTTGTAGGTTAAAATGTATTATCTTTCAGATTTTACTGCACATATGCAAAAATGTTAATACATATCCATCGAGGGAGAACATAAAATAAACCTAAGCATTAAAACATTAACCAACGAACGTGGGATAAGGTTTGAGCAGTACAGCTGTAACAACTCGACTCCGAATAATGATTATGATCAATATGAAAACAGTCTTGCAAACTAGGTCGTTTCATGAAGATTGGGGCTGTCTACAGACTATCTACACAATATTTTTTACACTTGATTTTGGCTGCAGTTCTGTAGCCATCACACTTCTACTCATGTGCACTAAAATTTACACAAAATTTAACAGATGAGACAAACTTCGCCAGGGCTACTTGTGTCAGAAAGCAAGGTTCCCCTTCCAAAAACCTTAACAGGCATTATTAGATAACTATCTCTTGAGCCACTGAATAGGTATTAAATATATGTGTATATCTCTTATGTATATGTATGTTATTATAATATATAAATATATACATTTGTATATTATATATATATATATATATATTACACATGTACTATATATATATATATATACTATAATATATACTATAATTAAAATCTTTTTTAAATATCTTAAATATCTTTTTATCACTAGTTTTCTAAATTCTTATGAGACTCCCTGCTTTCTGACACCTGCAGCCTGGAGCGGGAGTCCGAGGCTGCGTAAACCTCAGTTCAAGTTCTGGTGCATTCTTGAAGTGTCACTGTTTTGTCTTTATTATATCCTTCACCAGGATTCTGTACAAATATCTCATTGTTACTTACTAAAAATCTTATATATAACAATGGGGGAAAATTAGAAACAACCATAATGACATTAAAATTCTCAGTAAGTAACAAAGAAATATGGAATCATATGGGAGAGCACATTACAGAGCCACCAACACTCTCCTTTACTATATATTCTCAGGCTCAACTACAAATTTTCTCATTGGGATATTAAATAAATTTCCATTATTGGGCATCAGAGAAACACGAGTATAGCGACACAAGTGCTGGCTGTGGGGAGGCTGCTGATGATGATGGCCATTCTTGTGCTCTGTAAAAACGCCTTAATAATAAGTCTCCATTTCCATCCAACCTCCGGGGTTCCTACGCAGGATGAATCGGCGACACTCGTCATAAACAAAGATGAGTAAGGAGAAGGGAAGGGCTGGCAGCCACCAGTAGAACCTGCAAAAATTATCATTAATTACTTGAGGATCAACCATTGATTTCTTACATTCTCATTTCTTTAACTGTAAACCCTAAACAAATGCTAAAACTACACCCTGACCCTGCAAATTTGTGTTTCAGACATCCGGTTGTCCACAAATCCGTGCATTTTCCGACTGTTACCCAATTACTGTGTATATCACTCGGCTGTGTTCATTTCAGAAAAAATAAAAATAAATTACTTTGTAGCAGCCCAAAAAGATCACAATAATTGTTATAAAATTCAATATTCAAGTGTGAGTATGTAAATAAACCTATATTAATTATGGTGCTTTGGATAACAACTGAAGTTTTCTTACTTAATCTTTCCTCCTCAACTAGGGAAACAACTACTGAAATCTGTGGAAGTATCACCAATGCACCACTTACTGTACAGTACTGTACTTTTCTTTGAATTCATAAAGTGCCATTTAAGAAGGAAACAATGTATGTGGTAATTCATTCATTTAAGAACAATTATTTTCTTAAATATGCATAGAATAATCCAACAAGTGATCAAATAATGGTTTGCTTCACACAAGTGTCAACTGCATATCTTACAAAAGTCATTTATGAATACAAGTTATCCTTACTCAAGGGATACAGGGTAGACACATTTCCCCGAGGGATCTGTATGAGTTGTACTGTACTTACTTCAGGGGGTACATACGAAGACCCTTGTCCATTCCTGGGGTGTATGAGAGGAAGGCAGCCAGTGTAGTTTCGAAACACAATCCAAAGTTCAGCACCATGTTCCTGTAAGACACCACATTAATTAATACTGTATAGGGACAAAATGTTTATTAAACTACACAAACATTGAAGGTGTCATGTTTCCAAGCTTGTTGTAAATCTGACAAAAACATTTTCCTTTTGTTTGGGACAAAGTAACCTTTACCTAATGAGACTAAAATCAACAAGCATAATATAAATAGAATGCAGCCCACTTGTGATCTCTACTGAAGAGACATGTAACTGAATATGCATAAATACAAACATTCTGTACAAATATCATGTGCAAGACAGATAAAGCATATAAAGCCGATTGTCTTAGTAAACTTACTTCATGCCCTGGTGAACGATGGAGTTACGTCGGGTCTTGCAGACGATCAAATCTGCCCATTGCACAATCACGATGGAGACGAAGAAAGCAGTATGGCATGTGTACTCAAGAACCTTGCGGTCGTAGTATGTCTGTGGTAAATAGGTTGAAGGGCAGTGTTTACGATAACATTTACACCAAACTGCGTTTTGTTAAGTACCTAGGATAAGCGCTTTCCAATGCTAGATGATAAAAGCTTCCCAGATAAACATGACACACTCTCCCGGGCTTCACCAAGGAACTACAGTACTTATTCAGGGAGGGTGAAGTATTCCTGCAGGGTACATCTACTGTATATGACTTATGATAACTCAGTAAAATGTGGATTACAAAAACGGACTGACAAAGATCTGCGAAATAGTTTTTATATACTGTGAAATGCTTTTACAAGGAATGTAACTGTGACCAAGTTCATGGAAATAAATGAAACGCTTTTAGCAACACCACAGACATATTAGATGATGAATGATGGCACAAATAGTTGGGCTTTTATAGTTACATTACAAACTAATTCAAGCTTATTTAATTCTATGAAAGGCCAACATCCCTGGCAATGAAACTATGAAGATAATTGTTATAGTCCAGTTGTTGAGTGATGGACAGCTAAAATATTACTGAAGCACTTTGGTGAGAGTTTGGAGAAAAAAGTTTATCACTGTACAGTATGTAAAAAAAAGTATCTGCAAGGATGGGTTGGATGACTTCCCAAAATGTTGTGTGGCTCTGTGGCATACTGATCCTATTACATTTGGTAACCAAACATTACATAAATTATGCTGAAATAAATACACATTGCAATACACTGTACTTATTTTAAACTATATACTGCACTGTACAAAAATAAATGAATGTCCCAATATTTATCATCCTTGGTCTCAATGTTTCACATAGGTGTGGACAAATATTTTTTGAGACACGTAATGCACATAAATACTGTACCTATCATTCAGAATTAAAGGAAAAATGTTTACTCAAGGTGAAATACTGTGCTGTACTAACCCATTCCTGGCCATAGTGGTCCTCCAGATCATTGATGGCCTTGGAGTCCCACTTCTCACGGATACCAAAGAGTTTGGGAGGGAGGAAGCCATTCTCTGCCATGATCACAAAGTACACAAAGAATCCTGCCAAGGCCTGAATCATACCAATCTGACCATAGGCCATAGAGATGAGCCTGTTGTGTGGTGGATACAATATATTAGCTTTGGTTAAGTACACAAGTTATACTTCTCTTTACAAACTCAATTTACAAAAAAAATGATTCAAAATTTCAGATTCTTAGTTACAAAACCAATTAACTTACATTTGAACAAAAAGTATTTCTATAGTAAACTTTTTATTGAAAATTTTCACTCAATTTATGTATAAAAGATAAATACTGCTCATTATAACATAAAGTGATAGATCATTAATATACACTACTGTTTGGCCTAGGAAACTATAAGAGCATTCATAGTAATGATGTGTGTGCAAATTATAATATCAACCAGATCTTTGGTGCAAAATAAGTCAGTATCTTCATCTGGAGATAACACATACTGTACTGAATGTGAAAATTGCCCTCTTAGATTATATTGTGGTAAATTTAAATAATTTTCATATTTTAAATTAATTTTTGAGGATTCATGTTTAAGCACTAAGTTCCATTTAGAATATTTTACAATTCATAAAGCCATAAAACTGAAGGATATTTCCAGTTAAAATATTTTGCAATAAATGAATCGTTTAAAATAATCTAAGTCAAGACATTTTGTAGTGCATTAGTTATTTTACAATAAATATATTCTTGACACATGGCACCACACAAAACAGTACCTCAACTTTATTGAATGTATTGTGCACAAATTCTCAAAACTACATGGTTGAGGTTTTTTCAATAGACAAATTTAGGATATTTAGTACATATGTTTATTGTGTCAAACTTTGAAACTTTCATTAACATAATTAAGAACTTTGAAAGATACTTTTAATTCATCCATTTTGCAATAAATGATACTGGTGATAGTACTGTACTGTTTCTTCAACAACCTCTCCCTCTCTAGTCAAAATAGTAATGCACAAGCATATATAAAATATTTCTAAATAATCATTGCAATGGTAATTAACTAAGCTATCTACAGCAATGAAATCGGTAGCATTTGTACCGAAATCTTCAAGTTACTCTTAATGAAGAAAATGGGAAGTCTACAGGAATCAAAGCTCAATATCTAAAACTTCTCTTTGTAAAGAACAGCTCTTACCAGTTTTGAAAAGCCGATATCACAGCTCACCTTCAGACGTGGTTATATGTAATTTTCCCTCACAAGAGACAAATCATGCACGCGAAGACTCATGCATAGGGTTAACAAAAATTTGTACAGAGGTTTGGAACATTATACAAATATATATTTTTGGGGGCTGTCTGAGGTTTGGAGAGTATATGGTGCCTTCAGTCAAATACTTATACAAGGGTATGTGTGCAGTGCAAACAGAAATCCACTGCAAGACATTGATCCCAGTCAACTTGTAGACATGATGCACGAGGAACTCCTGTATAGACACAGCAGAGAAAATACTAACACATGTATGATGATCCTTCAGGGGAGGGCCATTAATGATCCATCAACTGAATAATCATATGACAATAGTTTAGGATTAAACATACCCCATACCTGGTTGGGCACAGCACAAGTGTAAGACAACAAATGACAACGGTGGGTTACACATTTGAACTCCCCCAGAAACTATTTCTAAATGACGTGTGCTCGTGCATTTCTTTGATGAATTCGCTCTCGTGTAACACATAAGTTTGTAACACCGATTAGCTGCAATTAAATACAGAAGGACGTTCAGAGCGGGCATTCCATGAAAAAGGAATAGAAATACATAAACAATAGGTAGTTTTATGTGTTGATGCACTTCCCTCAGTAACATAAATGCTTGTGACAAACATTTTTCTTTAGTATGAAATTCTAAAACATCAATAACATCTCTGCAAGGTGAGCACTGTCTGCTTCACCTGCAACACCAAAAAAACATTCCCAATATAAAATAACAAGGGAGTATGTATTTGTGGAAACACCTGCTGCACAGGGTGTCAGCTCACCTGTAGTTCACAAGCTTGTCGTGCCACGGGTCTCGTGGTTGCCGCTTCATTATGTCTGATTCTGCAGCCTCATAGGCCAAGGAAATGGCCGGGACCTGCGCATTCGTGTAAAAATTTACGGGTAATTAGCGTAACTAACACCCAGGAGTACGTCCATGAGGATGGGGTGGCGATGAACAGTCAACTGTCCCTTACTGATCGATGATGTGGGTGGACTACACACTGCGGTGGTTCATAGAAGGGTAGAGGGCAAGAAGGAGCGGCACACTGGGCTCAAAATGCAACCCATTTTTTTTCCCTTATGTCCCTAGCATGATGGCCAGCACTCCTGGCAAAAACCTCTTCCCAATAAAGACCACCGACTCGTGTGGTAATGTAGATGGACCATTTGCATTGCATTTCACTTTCTAAAAGCGCCATCTACCTACGACTGTAGTCAGACAGGGACAAACACAAACACTGCCTCCTAAGTAGTACAGGCCATGGAAAAGAAGCATTACTGGCAGCTCAATATGAAAACTGCCTGGTTGACTGTTTTAATCGCACTACTGTGCAGGTCTACAGTACATGATTGGAACACAAATCCATGGCATATATAAGATTACAAGTGAATCATCTCCTCAGAACATGTCACTTAAGCCTGGACAAGTAGAGCACCATGGGATTTGTGGGGAGAGGGTGAATGGGTTGTTACATTGCATATACAGTACTGCTAAATGGCAAGATCATGCAACAGAGCACACTGCAAACTGCCTCAGTAGAAACCATGCAATCAGTATACAAGCTTACATTAATTATACACCAATACAGTACTAATATTTTGTAAAATTTTAAGGTAAACCAAAAAAATATATACAGTATTTAGTGACCTATAATTACTTAAAAATCAGTAAAAAAAACTATCAGTACAACAGAGGGGTAAAAGACCCCCTTGAGACAACCACAAACCCTTGGAGAATGTCTCAAGAGATCTTCTGCCATACAACACTACTCTAAAAGTGTTAAAAATTAAATAAGAAATGATATGGAATGTGTTCCTTAGTAATTATCAAATTATCAATCTCTACTTTCAATAAGCATTTTTTAACTGAAGTTTTACTTCTATTGCTTCACCGGTGACATTCCCCACTCAAGGAGACGTTGCCTAGTTATAACAAGTTTGCTGTGTGCACCAATAATGGTCTATGGCGCCTCGTCATGACTTCTTTCATAGGCCTGCCAGTTATACCTCAAGCCTTCAGCTATTGATGCTGCTGTGCCCAACCCTCTATTCCAAAATGACCAACTTAATTTTATCCAGTCAGTCCAAAAATGTAAATAAATACCTTGAGAAAAGAAAGAAGATAGATACTCTACAAGAAAAGGTATTCAACATCCTACTCTTGCCAGCAACAGAGGAGAATCCTGAGCTCTTCACAGTAAGTAGCTCAGGTTGTAGTGGAGCTCGTCTGTCTTTATCATGCATTTCAACAATTATACAGTATTTTGCACTATGAATTATCCTAGGCAAAAATCTTCTTGTGTAAAAATATTTGCATTTGAATTTGAATTTAAAATTACATCATGCATAAAAAATTTGAAAGCATAGAATATTACACCAAAGCTTTTGTGAACACAAACACCACCCCAGAAAAAGTTAAGTTCCTTCATGCCACCACCTTGACAATGTTTGTTAGGATTCACTTCAACTGTTCACCTTCAAACAACAAGCTTGTTATTTCAATTATACTGTACTGGGGAAGAGAAACCAAGTGTGAAGTTAATCAGTTAGTAAAGAGCAACTGGTGTCGGTAAAGTGGCACAAACATTACCTCTCGTTCACAAGCTTGTCGGTGAATGGATTGCGGGGCTGGCGCTTCATAATATCAGATTCAGCTTCCTCATAGGCAAGGGAAATGGCAGGCACCTAAATATTAACCAAAGTATCTTGTTAACATCCTTCAACAAACAAAGAAAAAAAATCGCAGGGGAAAAAATAAATAAAAAACTATCTACAGATGCTTTAGCTCGCAGGACAATCTGAAAAGTTCATTCAAGTGCAAGACAAATAAAAAACTAAATTACAATAAAGAGATCAGTTCTGCTCTGTCCTGTTGGGCATGTGCTAGCATTATCAGTGTTCGGTGACAGGCCCCTCGTAAAACAAGCAATTTCGGTATAGTGCTAATTCTTGTGCAATGGTCTCTGGGATAGAATTAAATGACAAGAGACATGATTGTAAAATGAAGCACAACTCACTCTTCTTTAAGCATTATAATTATATATGCAAGCTATATAGTTGAATGACAAAATTCGTGCATCATGTCCCATGTAAAAAAAAATTCAAGTACACTAGCCAGCTGTGCTTTTTGTTCTTGTACATGAATACTGAAACTTGTTGCCACTGTAGAAATTTACCAAGCACAGCCTAAGCTTGCATGGATCTGTAGTTGCATCTGCTAAAAAAAAACCACCCATGCAGAGGTTTATCTTTTTTCATCTTTGGTATCAAAGTTGGTAGGTTGGAGCCAAGGTAGGATTAGTAAGGGGTATATGTAATGTAGAGATAGATATAGATATATAGAGAGAGAGAGGGAGAGAGAGAACCTGCACACGTTACCTCTCGTTCACAAGCTTGTCGGTGAACGGATTGCGGGGTTGACGCTTCATAATATCAGATTCAGCCGCTTCATAGGCAAGGGAAATGGCTGGGAGCTGTCATGACCAGCACAGGACAAGAGGCAGACAAAAAAGACAGATATGAGTGAACTCTGGAGGCACAACACTATAGTGATGATTATGGCATGCATTGCAGGTCAATACACACAAACACCGCTTGCAAGAGGTGCAAAGTTCAGATGTTCCTTGTAATCACTTGTTTGAAGGAGTTAGAGTTCTTGTTTAATGTGGTCAAGAGATAAACAATAATTTATCAATTTACACATCTAGTATAATTTACATGCGAACCAAAACTTCTCCAGGGCAACCTGAATTCTGCACCTTTATTGAACACGGCCCAAGTTGTGCGATTTGGGAGGCTGAGAGTTAGCAGCATCTACACACTGCAGTGGCAGGATGTCATAGTGCAAGGTGTCAGGACCAGGACAGGAACATAATGGTCATGGTGTGAGATGAAAGGAAAAGGAGAGGAACAGGAACGCCTCGCTACAGAGAGGCCAAGTTTTTTCTCGATCATTAGGGTTATATGATATGCACGGGTCTGAAATACTTAAGACGAGAAGGACATCATGGAGCTTGTCTGATGGAGAATGAGATGTTCACTACCATATGTATAATATATTTGTAGTGATGGCTTAGATTATCCAGTCATTGGAAAGTACATTAGTAAACCAGCTTGGGAAATAAACCAGCTTGGGAAATTAAGTACAAAGCATTGAAGTTCATGAAATACAGCATTATATACTGTATATAGATATATATATATATATATATATATATATATATATATATATATATATATATATATATATATATATATATATATATATATATATATATATATATATATATATATATATATATATATATATATATATATATATATATATATATATATATATATATATATATATATATATATATATATATATATATATACATACACACAGTATGAAAAGATATTGTAAAATAAAAGGCATGAAGAAGAATGAGGAATACTAAGGAGAAGCAAGAGGTGTCGGGTACAAAATCTTGGGAGAAGGAAGGAAGGTTGTTGGTTTGATGTTATTGCCCCGCCACCTCCTTCTAGGGACGTTACATTTCAAGGAATTAACTTCAAAATACAATAAATAAAAATTCCTGAATAAGGCAGAATTAGAGAATTTACAGGTAATAATTTGAAGTTGTATTTATTCATGAACAAACAAAATACATTAACTGGGGGTGAATGTCTGAGGACATTAAAGTTAGCAAAAATTACTGTATGTTAAACTTCCTGACAGTAACATTCAGAAATAGCTAAGTGAAAAGATCTTGACTACTATTCTTTTTAAAACTGTGGCGGGGTAAAAATATCTTAAACCGAGTGAGTGGGGTTGTAGTGATGAATACGTGACAACAGCAATTGTAAGACCATGAATCTGTACTCAGATAATGAATACATGCAGAGTACAATACAGTAGTTCAACTTGTGAAAAACCAAATATCTGAATAAATCCTAGAACAGCCATGGTAAGCACTGAAGTAAAGCAATTAACTTCAATATTAATAATGCTAACAGATTCACCAATATCTCATTAAAATGTGAATATTACTTTTTAATAGGTAAGAAAAAATGACCAGAATGTTATTCTGCAGAGGAACCTTTTTCTTCTACTCACTACAAGTAAAAATTAAAAATTATTCACGAAATAATTGGTTTCAGTGTATCTGCTGATCAACTTTTCTATGGAATGTAAAAGTTTACTCAAGTGCAGGTCATGACAGCTTGCCTAGAGAACCCTAAAGGTGTAGTGAACCTTAGCAAAAAAGCCCATGGAGATAAAACTAGTACAGTACACCAATGTCAAGCAATCACAAAACTGTCATCACACCTCCAGGGGCCTAAGATTCAAGAGAATGTTATAATATGAAAAAAATTGATATATTCACTTATTTACTTAGCTGGTCATGTAATCATCACATTGTCAAGATAAGGATGAAGGTAACTTGAGTTGGAGGATGAAGAGTAATGGTCGATGGGCGTGACAGGTGCTATGTTTACCTTGTCCCATCAACTACAAACACAATCAAGGTTTCTCGTTTCTCAAACCTGTTTTGTTATTTCACCAGCTCAACAAAGATAATAAAGAATGGTAAATTATGACCCTTAAGAAATCTTTAATCAGGAAACAAGAATTAAAAGAGGAAAAAGTTTGTTGAGAATGATGCTTGAAAATTTATCAACATGGCAAGAGGCTTTATAAGATTGGTGACATAGCGTAGAGACAGAATAGTCGAGTGATGTTGCATACTCCATACCATCAGAGGTGACTTATATATTATGCAAAAAATCACTGTGGCAGTAATCACATTCCTAGAAAAATTTCTGCATATAGGAGTTATAGGATCACAGCGTTGTCAAAGAAAATAGCAATGGAATAGAATAGGAAAGATATTTGGTAACTTGCTTCAACCCAGCCAGTTGAGTTGAGTAAGCTGTTTAGTGTTAGAACCAGCCTGTATGTCCTAATACATACTGTTCATTCCTTAAAAGTTGAAGTGAGAAATCTTAGATATACTGTACAGTATATATATATATATATATATATATATATATATATATATATATATATATATATATATATATATCGTGAAACTCCTTGTAAAGTCATGTTTTTGCCTCTTCCTTGGACTTTAAAAGACCAACGAAGTTAAACATGCACATCTTGCTGATAAAAACACTGTTTTGTTTCTTTCAAGTGTTGGAAAACTTGTTGCCATACATCAATTACTATGTAAGATAAATGGAGCAATACTCAGGTGTCACCTTACAATTCTTTATGATGTATCCTAACAAGTATGTACTGTATGTGGGCAGACTTTGTCTTGGCTAAAGATCTGTGATAAAATAGAAATATGCCAATCAAATTCAAAATATATGAAGACAATTTCTGCGTGCGAGTAAAAGTAGCAGAACAGGAAATGTTTGCCACGTTGCAAAAGCTCATTCATAGTTCGTTCCATAGTACAGTTATCCTTTCCGAGTCGTCGTCCTTTTTACCTTTCGTTGACAAGTTTGTCTTTGAATGGGTTTCGTGGATACCGTTTCATGATATCACTCTCAGCAGTTTCATAGGCCAGAGAAATGGCAGGAATCTAAGGAAAAGGTGAATATAACAGTAGCTGAACTGTTATTGCAAAGTGACAAATGTATTTACCATCACAAGTAGACTACCAACTGTTAATGAACAGTGACCAATGTATTTACCATTACAAGTAGACTACCAACTGTTAATGAAAAGTGACCAATGTATTTACAATTACATTACCAACTTTGTTTTTCAATTGTCTCTACTTCAATATTATTATTTTTACCTCTTCATACAATGACTTTACTTTGATTAAGCAAATACTCTACACTACTTTAACCTACATATCTGCCACTTAATTCTCAACTACATATCAGTACCTCTCATTGACCAATTTATCAAACATAGGATTTCTGGGTCTCCTCTTCATAATATCATTTTCAGCTGTTTCATAAGCTAGTGAAATTGCTGGAATCTTAGGACAAAAACAAAAGAGGAAATATTTCATTATTCACAGTAAACATACTGAAAGTTTCTTAAAAAGCATATAAATAAGAAATATTTTGTTTAGTAAGGAGTATCAGTAAGTCTGGTAATTAGAATTTGCATTCAATAGTTTTTTTTTATCTAATTACACTGCAGTTTAGCAAATTTTTAATCACAGCAAAAATATGTATTTTTGAAACATAACACAATATTAAGTTATATTTATTTGTAAAATTTTGATAATTTACGATTAAAACAAACCAGCGCAATTGACTTACCATGTCAGTACCCAGATCGATGCAGAGAATGGTGACGGTACCCAAGGGCAGAGGCACGGAGGCGATCATGAAGAACAAGAATGGCGAGATCTCGGGAATATTGGAGGTCAAGGTGTAGGCAATGGACTTCTTGAGGTTGTCAAAGATAAGTCTTCCCTCCTCAACGCCCGTAACAATAGATGCAAAGTTGTCGTCCAGCAAGATCATGTCGGCAGCCTGCTTGGACACATCTGATCCGGCAATACCCATAGCAACACCTGAACAAATCGAGTCTATTAGCCTTAGTATTAAACATTTTATTAATCTGTCCTATGACTTACCCTAATACAAAATGGATGAATCTAAATGAATACTGAACAAACATAAATCTTCATTCTTTTGTAAAGTATTAAGAAACTTACCAATGTCAGCCTTCTTGAGGGCAGGGGAGTCATTTACACCATCACCAGTCACAGCAACAATGGCACCCATACGCTGGCAACCTTCAACAATGATCAGTTTCTGCTGGGGTGAGGTACGGGCAAATACAATCTCGGTGTGGTGAATGAGAATGTCGTCCAACTGCTCGGAGGTCATGTCTCTCAGTTCTGAGCCGTGGACAACAGCAGCCTTGGCTTCACGGGGGTCAACCTCCTTGATGGGGATGTTCAGTCTCTGGGCAATGTCTTCTACAGTTTCATTACCTTCAGAAATGATACCCACAGACTTAGCAATGGCCTTGGCAGTGATAGGGTGATCACCCGTAACCATGATAACCTTAATACCGGCCGATCGGCACTTTGCTACGGCATCGGGCACAGCTGCACGAGGAGGATCAATCATGGACATGAGACCCACAAATCGCAGGCCATGTACTGGGAAGTTGGGATTATCTGAATCAAAGGGATATCCAAGAGGATACTTATCAGAAGGCAAAATGTAGTCACAGAAACCAAGTACACGCTCTCCAAGGCCTCCCAGTTCTAGGTAGGCGTTGTTGAAAGATTCCTTCAATTCTTCATCGAGGGGCTTTTCTTCGCCATTGATATAAATGGTTGAGCAGCGTTCCAGGATCCTCTCTGGGGCACCCTTCATGACGAGGAGGTAGCGGGGGTCATTCTTATCCTCGGTGTCGTGTATGGACACCTGATATTTGTTTGTGGAATTGAATGGAACCTCACAGACCTTCTTGTTGCGTGCTCGCCAGCCCTTTACATCTCCAACAGCAAGTTCAACACATTTCAGCAGAGCAGCTTCTGAAGCATCGCCGTTCACTTCACGTTTCAAGATGGCTACTTCCTCTTGTCCAGTCTTGAACTCAGCACGATTGCAGAGGGCAGCAATTCTGGAAAGTGTCTTCCAGCCTTCGGATGTCTTGTCATATTGGCAGCCAGACTGGTCTTCAGATGTATCAGCCTCAATGATGGTATTGTCAAACCACATATGAGCCACTGTCATACGATTCTGGGTCAGGGTACCAGTCTTGTCTGAGCAGATGGTTGAGGTGGACCCAAGAGTTTCTACAGCTTCCAAGTTCTTAACGAGACAGTTCTTTGCAGCCATACGCTTGGCTGTGAGTGTCAGACACACAGTGACTGTGGCAAGCAGACCCTCAGGCACATTGGCTACAATGATACCAATGAGGAATACAACAGCATCTAACCAGTGGTAGCCTGAAAAGAGAAAAAGTTTTAAGTTACCAATGCACTTGAAAAATATAAGAAGAATGTCTTTACTGTACTTTAAAGGTTTCATAAAATTTCTGGATAGATGTATGGGAAATTTTAAATTTGAATACTACCTGTAGTTATTACAATATTACAGTATATGTACATTTAAAATTATTAACAACTTTAAATGAAGTTGGCATAGTATTCGCTCTACGAGCAAAATATCAGGGTTTAATTCCCAACCAAAATGGAAGATGGGGTTCCTTCCTTGTACACGAACCCTTGAACACTCGGCCATAAATGAATACAGTACAGTACACTATTGGGTGCACCTGGCAATGGTGGAACAACCCTTTGGTGGTCTAGCATTCTGTCAAGTGGGTGAAATAACCCACTAGCTGCTAAATACAGAACAGCAGGAGACAGACACCTTCCTCACAGTAAGAAGCTTAGATGAATGAGTAATAAACCAAAATTCATCAAGGATATTAAGTGAATTAATGGAGTGTCAAGATGGTTTAAGATTATGGAAGACACAGATATAGTAGAGATTAATTAAGGTTTATAATGTGTGATAAGTGAAACAAGAGGAAGGAGGAGAATGTAAGTGAAGTATGACAAGTGGGACGACTATGAAAGAGCCTGGAGTTATAAGAGGATAAAATGTCAAGAAGTATGAGACGACGCATGACCCACCTTCTGTGTACAAGGAAATAGCTCATTCAACAGATTACACAGAAAATACAACGTACTGTATCATAAGAGCTCGCATTAGAGAACAGATATATTGAAGTTCCTTTGTTATGTGACTTACCTAAGATGAAGGCAATGACGAAGAAGGTAACTCCCAAGAACACTGCTACACCGGTGATGATGTGGATGAAATGGCTGATCTCTTTGGCAATGGGGGTTTCACCAGTTTCAAGACCAGAAGCCAACCCAGCAATACGGCCCATAACTGTGTTGTCGCCGATGTTGATCACAATACCCCTGGCAGTACCTGAAGAGCGGTATATTTGTTGTAATGATCAATTATATACAAAATCATCCCAAATATTCTTATGTTTCATGATACACAGTAGATATTTGTTCATGCACTGTTAAAGACAGCAAGTCCTCACCCTCCACAGCATTAGTGGAGAAGAAAGCGAGGTTCTTGGTCTCAAGGGGGTTCTCCGATGTGAATTCTGGAGAACGACTCTGGGGCTCACTCTCTCCAGTTAAGGAAGAGTTATCCACCTATGTGAGAGAAAAAATGATAATCAACTAAATTTAATACTGTAAAATTTAAATCTTTCTCATACTTTACCAAGTAACAAGAAATAACGAGTATAAAACATGAACATTATTTCATCTTAAAACAATAGTGCACAGGTTTGCATTAACACGGATTAACATAGTTCATCACACTGACCTTGAAGCCCCTAGCTTCAATGACACGGACATCAGCAGGGATGCGGTCACCGAATTTCACCTCGATGATGTCTCCTATGCAAAGTTCTTCAGCCTGAACATTCTGCTTTTCACCTTCACGAACCACAATGGCATACTATTGGGGAAAAGTACAAAGTTTATAGTTTAGTCTAAGGAGCACCAGGGAAACTTTTACTGAGTATTTGACTAGACTTTAATTTTTATTGAAAATCTTATCTTCACAAATCTAAAATTCAAATGTTAAAAAGTAAAAGTAAATTCTATATCAAATACTTGTACAATGAAAATTTCAAACTTCTGAATTAATAAACAATAAAATGGTTTCAAAATACAATACATAAATACAATTTTACCTTTAGTAAGTATGTGTTAACAAGAATACTGTAATAATGAATTGAGATACTACACACACACACACACAACATGCATCTACACTACTATTGTTAACTTCATTTCCACATGTTGCCCAGAATAATTAAGATGTTCTAACATACTACTTTGTCCTGTTAAGTACTAATAACGTTTCAAGTACTCAAATGTTTATACATAAATTCACCCCCCCCCCAAATACAATTATGCCAACACACTGAATTGGTTCACTTAAATTGCAGCAAACATGTACCCTCAATATGGTACTGAAACTCTACAGAACTTTTGAAAACTAAACCAGTTCTTTTATCCAATGACACACAGTCAAAAATGAAGTACAGTACTGTACAAATATTGGAAAAGCCAAACCCAGAGTTTTGTAACACTTACCAACGAGATGCTTCGGCTTTAGTATTCATACCTATATTTATTTCACCAATTCAACTTTGTCTATCTTATTTACAGGACCCCAGCTAGACTCTTTTACTACCTGACTTTAATTATCACAAGATTTTTTTTATCATCATCCACAATTTTTTTTAGAATTGAAAGTATTATTTTTTTGGCCCAAAGTTCTTTTCTAAAGTTGATATATTGTATAATACTTGCATAATAAAAAACCCACTGCATGCTAATCAAGAGATCCGAGTTATTAAATGCCAGTATTGACGACTGTGCTGGTCCCTCACTGAGCTTACTACAGTGAGTGTTGGGAGAAACTAACATGCCCAATTCAGTAAGAACCTAAAGTCATCTACAATTAATCTTTTTTTATACATAAAGCACTGTACATTATAATGTTGCAGTCAACAAATCCATAATATTGTTTAGTTATACAAATCCAGTAGTTGCCTCCTACTTGCACTGTATGAAAATACAAATGTCTCTAAAAATGAGGTAACCTTGATACAGTAGTATGATAATGGCAGTAAAGCTCAGGGGAGAGAAAAAAGGATGACTTTACTGGACAAGATTTAAAATTGTACAAAGTTTGAGATGGATTCAATTTAATTACTATATATCTGTTAACAGCCATTTCAGTGTTATCAGCTTTCTATGTATGACATTAACTGTAAGAACCTTCAACTCGACTTGTAAAGCTTCAATAATACCAGCAACAAGCTGAACCAGCTCCCAGTTCTTTATAAGCCATAATGGGTTCTGCTTTCAAGACAGGTCAAGCCTATAGATCAGGGGTCACCAAACTTTTTTCACAGTGGGCCGGATAACTGAAAGAATGACAAGCGCGGGCCGCATAATCATTCTGTTCAATAATTGCAAGCCAGAACGAAAGCTCTGGTAACGTCAGAGCGTAGGCGGAGCTACCACGAGCCGGGGAAGGACTTGGGATCCGGCCCGCGGGCCGTAGTTTGGTGACCCCTGCTATAGATGGAAGCATTATTTTTTTTTAAATTTCAATAGGGACAAATACTGAATGTAAGCATTATAAAAGTAAGGTCATTGAGCAGCTGATGGTGCGATATGAAAAAAATGGAACACAAGGAATATAAAACTTCAGCTGATGATGACCACCAATTCAGTGTTAAAGGCAGCAGAATGTGATGAGGGAGTGAATGATGGATAAAACCAGACAAGAGAAAGAGGTGAGGCAGCATGACAATTAGTAGCTTAACTTACTCGCAAAAATACCAGTGCAGTCTCTCCCTAAAGACTTTATTGTAGGTTTGGTTTATATATATCATGCAAATTCCACACACACAAAGCACACAAGGACAATATTACACAACCAGCACCATTTCTGTAAAGAGAACATTAATCCTCCATTGTTCAAGTTAAATACAGAAATACAGAACAAGAGGAAGACAGAAATATGGTGACTGTAGAAAACGGTAGAGTGGAATAATGAAGGATGTTCAACAGCAAATGAGTTAATTTATAATCTACTGTAATTAGTAAAGATCATTCTGTTTCATGAGAATTACAGATCTCCAGTCATGTACTTATCCCCACACTAAAGAAGGCAAGTGTGGCCCAGAGTAACCAAGATTTTTTTCTTTAGCATTAATTCTAAAATTCCTCTTTGCAAATTCCCTCGTGGTGGAGTGGTACAATGCACTAGAGATGATGACACATTGATGAAAGATGTGTTATAGGAAAGGGACTAGTACGAGACCCAACAGTGTACTGAAGACTTAGGCAGGAGTGTGTCAAATGAGCAGAGGATTGTGGAGTTGTCTTGGATGGAGACAGTGGATGGCGTAAAGAAAAGGACCGAGAGGGATTTTGGATGGTGGACCGAGAGGCCAGTTGTGAACAAGTATGGACTGTAGATTAAGGAAAGTTGAAATGTTACTTGCTGTTTATCGTGGTTGTCTCATGCATTAATGAATGAAAATAAGAAGAGCACAACATAACAAATGATATTGTGTGTGTGTGTGAAACCGAGACGATCAGACATGAGACAAAGACGGAAACTTGATTGACAAAACAGACAAGGATTAGTGTACAGTTGACTCTGTATAGGGTGTAGAGTGGAGACTGTGTAAGGGGGTATTGTATGGGGTGTACAGGGAACAACACAGTGTAAGGCTGCACGTACCACTCTCCTCAACAATGGGAACTCACATGTTAGTTGTGGGGAAACACAAATAATAACAAATAGGTCTATAATTCACCTGGGGAACCATGTTTTTAAATGATTCCATGATTCGGGAACTCTTGTTCTCTTGATAGTACGAGAAGACGCCCGTGATGATCACGACAGCTGTGAGTACAATGCCCAGGTACAACTGTAAACAAGCTCGTGAGAATCAGTCATGAACCCTTGTAAAGCTATCAACTCAAACTCCTTGTATGTATACTGGTATGTAGTATACACACTTCTGGATTGTCATCACAGTGCAATATCTTGCAATTTTTATGTGGTGCTCTGTCTTGGGTGAGCTAGAAGGCAAAAATTCAAGAAAAGGGACAAAATGCTAAAATAAAAAAAAATTTCAAAGCAAGACAAAATAAACTGGTGCTAACATTTCCAAGGACAACTTTTTACCAAAATATTACAGCAAATTTGGCTGTTATCCATATTACTAACCAATTAAATATAGAAACCTTCAATAAACATTTACAGTTTTTAATTTCATCTACCGGTACAGTACAGCACATCGTACTGTCATCCGAGAGGTCGCCAATTCCAGCCACAGCTTTTGAAAAACTACCAATTTCAGGCAAAATACATTACTAGACTATCAAGTCTCACTACACTCAATGAAGATACTAATGGTAACAAGTCGCTTGTAAGTATGTCATTAATAAAACCAAAATGGAAAAATTAAAAAAGTACCGAGAATGAAGATGAGCTTACCCAGCAGCATGGCCTAATCAGTTTATTAAAGACAAAATGCGTGTCAGGTCCATGAGGCTAGAAGCTAAGGTCCTTCCTTACCTCGTGTGATATAGAACATGGGGCATATAAACCGTTTTCTTTTGCACAACTGTGCCGTACTGTCTAATTACAGCTATCATTCCTTTCAGGTCCTCAGGTGCCATCAAAGTTATTTACCATGAGGAATTACAAAAAATTTACCTGAGGCACCAAATTCTTAAATGATTCCATGATAGCCGAGGACTTTGCCTCCTGGTAATAGGAGAAGACGCCGGTGATAATCACCACAGTCGTCAGCACTACTCCTAGGTACAGCTGTAAAACATCACCCAATCCATGTTAAATACTGCCCCTTACTATAATAACTTGATATTGTATTCCTATTTCCATAGTAAAGTTTAATAACTTATCCTGTTAAAAATAAAAATAAAAATTGACACTACAGTATTTCTTTTTAGCAAGATTAATCTTACATTCCCATGCATTATTTAAATTTGTGTATTTTAAATTTTAAATATTAATTCACATTTAAGTACAAACAACTAAAGTAGTTATTACTTTTTATGGAGTATCACTTTTCAAATATAACTAATACAAACAAATAACTCGGTATAAAAAGGCTCTAAAAAAAATTATCCTCATAAGACCAGGTCAAAGGTACAGAATTTAGACCCAATAAAGGACAACTATATAAGCCAACAGTGTCTAAATACTGTACAGTACAGGTCCTCCCCGACTTACGACCTGCCTCAATCGTACCAAAATTTTGTCAAATTACGTATTTTCAAGTCCCAACGTCAGTACACATACAAATTTTTTTTTTGCAATTCAATTTAAAATGGCTGGCAAGCTTAAAAGTGAGAGTTTTGTGTTACTGAATAGAAAAAGAGACACCCATTTTAGATTTTCTATGTATTATTTAAGCATTTTCGACTTACGACCCGGATTTGGGTCCCTAACCCCCATCGTAAGTTGTGGAGGAGCTGTAGTGTATTTTATGTACAGAAAAGGGTTGTGCACTGTCTCTATCAACATTTAGTCATCAGAAACTAATAGGATTTTTTACTTTGTCACGTTAAGATCCGAGAATCATTAAATTAGAAGAATCCAGCTTTAAAAACAATAGAATCAGTAACACAAAATAACAGTGAATCACATTACTAATTTTATGTTCTTGGTGTTGGATTCTATGTAATAAAATTAATCATTTTCACCTGAGAATCTCTCTACATATGTTCATTAGGAAAAGTTAAAAACAAAAAAACCTTAGTATTAATTATATGGTTAAAAACAGTTTCTATGTACTGTATACTATGAGAGGATCAGCTCACTATCAGAGGATCACTGCTCTCATCCTCTCAATTACTCTGCTGAAGGAAGGCGTTAGTAACATGAGAAACGTACTTGGCCAATCGACGGTGAAAAATAATATATACGTATGTGAAAATAAAACCCATAACACAAGATATTTAGTGTTTGTTGATAATTATGAGGAATAAAGTGATGACGGGGGAGGGGCGGGGGAACCAAATGAGAGTACACGAGGGGGGGTGGGGAGGGGCAGGGGAACCAAATGAGAGTATGAGGGGGTGTGTGGGGAGGGGCGGGGAACCAAATGAGAGTACACGAGGGGGGTGTGGGGAGGGGGGAACCAAATGATGAGGGGTGGGGAGGCGGGGAACCAAATGAGAGTACACGAGGGGGGTGTGAGGGGGAACCAAATGAGAGTATGAGGGGTGGGGAGGCGGGGAACCAAATGGTATGGGGGAGGTGTGTGGGGAACCCAAATGAGAGTACACGAGGGGGGGGTGTGTGGGGAGGGGCGGGGGAACCAAATGAGAGTACACGAGGGAGATGAATGGGGGTTATGGAGCAAGACATGGTGGCTATGGTAGGGCAAGATACAGATGATTGGCAAAGGACAACCATTTCCTAACCAATCCTGTAAATGGCCACACCTATACCCAATTCCCTACATTATCAAAAAACAATTTTAAATATAGTACGTGGAACTTATTCATTCCAATATATAATTATGTATCAAAGTTATAGTCGCAATTTAATGATTTTACGGCAGAAATTACTTGACATTTCGATGAAGGAAAATTTTTAAATAAGGCAACTACATCATCCTATATAATACATGATAAATTATCTTTAATGTTTATACCAATACTTGCAGCACGTCATCTCTTCAAAAATATGTTAAGAGTTAGGAGAGACACTGTAGATAGATATACTGTACAGATATTTGTAGATATATAGATGTATGAATGGACAGATAGATAGACATTAAAGAGACGACTGCAATATACCAAGGAACAAACAATAGACACATTATTAGACTGAGAAAAATATAAATAAACTAGGTATAAAATTAGCCAACATACATTATCATTGTTGGGTTCCTCCTCTGAAACAGCCTCAATGGAGTAGGCAATGAAACAGAGGATGGCTCCAATCCACAGGAGGAGTGAGAAGCCGCCGAAAAGGTTCTTGCAAAATTTCACCCACTCGGGAGTCTGCTTGGGTGGGGTGAGGGCATTTGGACCATCTCGTTCTGTACGTCGGAGAGCCTCAGCCTGCGTTAGACCCTAGAACAGAAAGAACAAGTTTAATATCTTACCAAGGGTGTTCTTCAGGTGATGATAATAGCCATGTGCAATTTTCAGATACCCCTGTATATCAAAATGATCTTTGTAAAGAAATCCAAAACAAACTGTCTTTTAAGGATGGCTGAACTGGATACATGTACTTATGAATACTGTATCACATCACCTAAGAGAACCACTTCCCAAGAACAACCAATCATATACACACCACATAAACCTCCCTCTAACAAGCTATATAGGGATCAAAGTCCATTATATCGAGGGTCTGTTAGATGTGATACGTTCCTCTAATGGACTATGTGGAGAGAAAAGTCCCTTATATGGAGGTTTCACTGTACACTCTGTATACAATGATAGAGAAACAAACAGCAGTGAGGAAATACATAGGAAAATTAATATACACTAAAGATAAAATTAGGAAAATTATTATACACTAAAGATAAAATGCCAAAGTGATCAGCTGTTAGGTGATAGACGAACAGGAAGGTGATGTGAAAACTCCCGGTAAGAATTAAATATTGAACACCACGTTACAATATTACCTACTTACAATGTTAATTTTTTTACATATACGGTAACCCCAAGAATAAAGATAATTACTGTACTTATTATTGAAGTTTATTTGTGGTAGAATGAACAGGACAAAACATTACCATGTGTGTACTGATAAGATATATAGTGCTATGCTATTATTTTCCCCACAAAGAATAATGTTAGATGTTTGGTGATGTAGCAGTTAAGTGTTTGCCTCTCACTACTACATCCCAGGTTCATTCCTCGGGTCAGATGCGAGAAGGTTTGTTATCCAGCGTGACTCTACCAAACATTGTGGGTTTTCTCCAGGTACTAACACTGGACAACAAATGACAGACATCAGAAACAACATAAGGATTAAATACACCAATAGTCTCCTTCCCCCATCAATAGAGTGAAGCAAATAAGAAAATTACATATACCACTACCGATAGACAAAATTTTAAGAGTAGAGAGAATAAGCAAGAGTCATAGCTACCATAATGAACACAAGTTAAATAAACAAACATCCTGGACCTACACTACACCATCAGTAAGACTTGTAACAATATTATACCATTACCATTGTGACCAAATCCTTTTCACTGTAAGTCACGGTGTGTTGGTGATGGCAGAAGCAAACAATATGTTCGTCTTTGCACTAATTCAAAATGGACACATGAAGAATAGCAGATGGAAGAGGTTTGTGTTTGAGAATAAATAGAAAAAATAAATAAATGAAAATATTGGGAATTTTGTATACAGTACTTGACAAATATATCAATGAATGGACAATGGGAGGAAGAAAAAACACTTGGTAAAAAATTATAATCAACCATTACTGTATCCATACCACAGCATACATACATCTTGTGTGTAAGTCAAGTATTGTACAGAATATTATTAAAGAAAAACTCACGACAAAACAAAACTTAGTAAAGAAATACAGGTATTGTTGTTGATGGAGGAGGCAAGGCAGCTGTGGTGTGGACAATGGCTGGCCAGATACTAAACACACTAGATAATTTAGTCCTCAGGGGTGTTGGTGGTACTATACAATGATAATGCTCATACTACTGGGTTCAATTCTCAGCCTGAGACAGATGTGAGGAAGTGTTATCCAGTGTGATAGAGAAAGAGCTGTATGACAAGACCAAACATGGCAGGTTTTCTCCAGGTACTCTGATCTTCTGCATTAACACTTGACAATTAAAGTTATAAACTAAAAAAGAACAGATCTGTCTGAATAGCTGATAAGTCGTGAAATGATAAATACAGTGAATACACATATCTTTATGAAATCTTTGTTTATATAACTTTCAACAGGAGAATAATGTCTGGACAAACCTTTCAATTTGACCTTCAACCTTGAGCTCAACATTTACTGAACTTTAACACCCAGACAATAAACACATCTGTATTTGATGGTTAGACTGTCCTCCAAATTTGAAGTCACCGGTAATCCAAGTGAAACAAAGAGTAGTTAAGTTTTCAGCAATGTACCGGACAGTTGTACAGATGAGTTACACTATGTGCTCCCTCTAGTACAGGGGGGGGGGGGGATCATGACTGCAGAATCAGATGCACAAATAATGTCTCTCTGGAGGACTATATGAGGCAGTAAGAACAGTTATAGAAATATCTAACTAATAAGGTAGACACAGAGACTAATACACAAGGAAGGAAACCCTGAAGACATGACCCAGATGTACAGTGGCACATGACATACATTGGGTAAAAACTAAGTCATGTAATGTATGTGTGAGATCCATCGTACACAAATATTTTAAGTGCAATGCTAGAAAGGCCAGTCATACTCACTGAGTCAGGGTTGACACTAAGTCGCTGGAAGAGTTCCTCAATGGGGACCTTGTGCTCATCAAGTTCCAACTCCCTCTTCAGATTGTCCATATCCTTCTCCCCCTTCTTCGCCTTTGCCTTGGGCATCTTCTTTGTGGACTGCAAGAAACAATATTCAGTTAGATACAGAGAAAGGGAAATATATTGCAGTACAAGTATGTGTTAGTTGCATCACAGTTTTGTGCTAAGGAAGTCCAAAATGTCTGGCTCTTGTTACTTTTCTGTATATCTTTATTTAGTGTCATGCCATTCAAGTATTTCAAAGCATCATTCAACATGTGCAGTGAGCAGTCTTTTCACTTCCGAGATTTTCTTACTTGAGAGTTTGCAGCAGTTCCTTTCTTCACACAGTGCTTAATTCACCATCAGATCAGAAGGTAACATTCCCAACAGTGTGGGGTTCCAGCCACTATGGCAAGGTGGGTTAACCAGACCTCAACACGCCAGGAGGTACGGTACATCATTTATACCGTGTTTGATGCCTTCTGTCCTCTCTTAGACCCGAGGGAGGGATGGCCACAGGTAGGTTCTTCATCATATAAGACAACAGTCACCTATCATGTTACTATGTTCCTCAAACAGCCTCAGAGGTCATGATACAGAGTACTGTTTTATTCCTGCACTATACAGTAATATCTTCTTCCCTCTTATGAGTTCAAGTCCTTAATATGTGAGGGTGACCAACCCAGGGTGACTAACCCAAGGTAACCTTATGTACCAGAATGGGAAGAGTGTATCCCCATATACGAGAGACTACAGTAACAATTAAGGTTTTACATTTAGAAATACAAAAATTTAAGCAATATCTACCTGAGAAATAAAATATTTGTCTTTTGCTTCACACAGCTAATGCATAACTGTAACAAGATGTCTAAAATGTAGATAAACTTAAAAATATGAACATTACCATAAAAAGCACATGTTGAGAAGTCAACAAATATCCTCATAAAAAGTGTCATTAGAAAAGTCTTGTCAAATAGAGTCGTACAGCTGTGGCCAGAGGACCATACACTGAACAAACATTCACTTACACATTCACAGCCACTCAACAGTCCTACCAAGTTGTCTATACTCCATCATGCACAAACCCACCACCTTCTACAAACAAGCTCAAACAACCTCAACTGAATAACATTATTATAGTTTCTTACAGTACACCTTATTATAGAAATTTAATTTAGCTTATACCAGAAACTCATGTAATTAAATACTGTACTAAACTCAGGACTTGTTATTATCAGTAAATAATTGCAAACAGGAATTATTAAATTACAGGAGTTCAGGTACACTTACAACATAGTCTTTACAGTTCTTTCTTAGCAACACTGCAAATACACCACAAACAGTACAACTTCCTACAGCTGTGATGTGTTACTTGCAGTGTTACTAACAAAGTGACAAGAAAAGTTTTCATTATTTCAGTTGTGTATAGAGCATGAAGAGCAATTTTCTCACACACACGTCACTCAATACCACCAGTGGCTCACAACACGTCAGTGAACCATAAAAAATAAATGGACAGACAAGAAAATAGAAATAAAAGCAATAAATGTAACGAAGAAAAAATTAAAGAATAAACATTAAAAACCTGGAAATTTGAAGAAGTTATAACCAGCTTGGAGAAATTCAGATGCGGTACATCACTATGGCACCACATGTTACAAAAGTTATCACAAGAGTATAGTCTATGAGAGCAAGTATCCACCACCATCAGCAACTCGGTAGTCCCACTATCTATCCTCTATACGGTATTACGGGAACTCCTCTCGTCTTCACAACCTTATCAGGCTCCAGCGAGTAAAATAGGGGAGTTTGATGGCTGTAACGTCTGTCATATCGAGAAATAAGCAAACGTTGCTCCACTATCATTTATGACAGGGTATATTTTTTTTCCATTTAATTCTACTACAGTACTAATGCAATTTAATAAAATCACCCTTCAATTCATTTTATAAAGTTATTCTTTGAATTGGTAACTCAACATTAACTGTGCTTTTATTGAAAACTTGGGTAAATTCTTTTATCAAAATAAAAATTCAGAAAATGAAAGGTCAAAACCGATGATGTATTTTCTTGGGAATGTGTCGAATTACGTCGTCTACGGAGATCATTGCCTGCTATAGGTACTGTACATCAGCTGCTGTGTATGTACTGTGAGGTAAGCACTACTCATACATCACTACTAACACTAAATTTTGCTTCATTAAGAGGATGTCAATTTTATGTTAAGATTGGAGCTTTTAAATAAAAAATCAAATAAAAACTAAGCTAACTGTACTTTGAAAAACCAGTAATAAGATTCTTGTTCAGGTCAATAAAATGAAAACATTATGGCAAGGTATCTGCTATACTGTACAGAGTGGGCATCTGTCAGGGGTGTGGTGAGGCTACAAAAGTTTCTCAATCACTGAACTACTGTAGTACAGAAAACAAAACTGGTTTAAAAAAGTCTTGAGGGGAAATAAAAGTGAGTTTACAAGGTACAGTATACAAAAAAGTGAAAAGTACAATGCAGAGTAAAAATTGGTGAAAAAATAAAGTAAGGTAATGAGCAGAGCATAAAGAGTGGTTTAAAGACCCGGCACTATGAGCAGGTGTGGCCAAGATAACATGCAAGACCCGGCACTATGAGCAGGTGTGGCCAGGTCAGACAAGTACAGTAAATAATGACAAAGGCACTTGTGCAAAGGCTTAATTAGCTATTAGTGTTTGATAATACAGTACAGTTATCTACAGATATCTCCAGTACAGTCTAAGTCAGAGAGATTAAAGGCTGTTCTTTGATATTTTCAGAACATTCCTAAAATACAATACATTACAGTAAGATGTCCACATGTTTGCTTGATTACAGTAAATCATCTGTGATAGATTAAGACCTACAGTATGCCCTGTAAGTATCTACTTTCATCTACTATGATTTAAAATGGTCAACTGTAAGGATAAGTTTACGGTAATTTACAAACTGGAGATTCTGCGAGGAAACGGTTCATTGATTTATGAGGAAAGATCAGCAAGAAACACAAAAATATATATTTTAAAAGGATTGGTGCAGTTGGTCACATGGGTGTTAATTCTAAATTGTCTAGCAATAGGAAATTATAAAAATTATTATGCAAATAAAATTGATCGTAAATTTCTTAAAACAAACGATGTGACAATAACTAAGAACTTTTGAATGGGGCTTAATAAGTGTGGAAGGTGAAGCACCTCAAACAAGGATTGTGGTGATGGTTGTGGTAAAGGTGGGGCAACAACATGGAATGTCTTTTGTTAACATACATGGAATTTTAAGTTTGGAATATTCAAGCTTTTTGTTTTTAAATATATTTAATATTTATTTTCTAACCTTGATAGGTGTTGGTGTCAGTACTCAAAATTAGAGTCCTAATATTCTTAATATCTAGTTCTTTTTCTGTTGCAGGATATGGTCAATAAATAGAAGGAAAAGACAGTCAGTAGGTTATATTTTACTGTAAATACACCACACTATTTGTGGGAGTATAAACAGGGCACGGATAATGAAAGTTTAGTTGACTACACACATGTAATAACAATACTGTAGTCAAGAGCTGTACAGTACAGGGTAAACATGATAGCCACAGGAAGGAGACACACTTAAGTTTAATTCAATAAAATTCTCCCACTTTCTGATGTTTGTTAAATTTGGCCAAAAGAGGATTTTTAATTTTAATTTTTTGGCATATACTGTACACTACAGTACAGTATACGCTAATACACACTAATATCAAAGAAAATTAATAAAAACTTGAACCGAAAAATGGTTTAAAATGCAAATTTGCTAAGGATCACCCAAGTACGTCTTGGAAGTGACCCTAGATAGGCTAGACATCAAAAGGCCTAATAGTTTGCAGGTTAAAAGTTCATTACACTTGAAGCAGGTAGCATGCATATTGATTTACCATCATGAACATGCAATATATGGTTAAAGATGTGCAAGCACAGAGGCAAGGTTTACTAGGTTGCAGCACTTGTGTACAAATAATGTGTTGACAGAAATCTAAATGAAAGAAGGGCGTCACACGGTAGTAATTTCTCTTTTTGTCCTGTCTCAAGAAATGCTACCTTAGGGTCCCCTTTCACGGTTCGGTTATCATCAGGGATGGTTCGATCCGTGGCGTGCCGGTACGAATCTGTTCTGCCCGTCTGAAAGAAAAATTGGCAACAAACCACATACAGTCTAACCTTATTATTTCAATCCTTCCATTGAATACTTTAAACCACACTTTTCTCAGATTCACTTTACCTGTCATGCTATCCTGTATTTTATTATGGTACCTGAACTAATGCACTTGTAAGTATTAAATGCAAACTCAGAAAAAAAACGAAAAACTATTTACTGTAACAATATTTACATTTAACCCCCTACACAAAGTATGGTGGTCTCTTCAACACAGGTGAACATAGAGAGGCTAGAGGCACTTCAGTCTATAGCATTAATGGCAGCGAACCAACCAGACTAAACCTAACCAACATTGGATTTAATTTGATTGGTTTGTACTTGGTTACAAAACTTCGCTACTTTGAAAGATTAAAATAAACCCTCTATTGCTTTCCCTTTTCTTCCATTGAAATTGCATTCAAACCTAAAAACCAATCTGTTTATTTCCCATTAATAAGAAGATAACATGGCTGATTTAGCTCATCCTTTAAGTGGGGAGATACTCTATACAAATTACAAAGATCTCTACTGTAGTCAACAATTAAAACAACGAGAAAATGTGGTTTAAAGTACGTGTACATCATCTGATCCAACACTGGTTTATTTTCTCAGCTGGTAAACCCAACAGAAAAAGTTCATACACATTATTAAACCAATCAAAAGTAAACAAAACAAACACATAAAAACCATAGCAGGTTAAATCAATCAGATACGGGGGAAGTTTAGTAACATTATGCTTTGGAAGGATTCATATTAAAATGATTAACATGTTTGTAAATCAAAGTTACATTTAAGAGGTCATTTCCGAGGATCAGAAGTGGTATGACTGTGTGTGTGTATGTATGTGCGCATTTGTGTGTGCATACTGTATATCAGAGCCATAACAAATTTTAAACCTTTGACGGTCAGTTCTGGGAGTTCAAAATTAGCCTGGCACTGATATTTGAGCCTTTAAGACATACTGTGAATGCCTTTTACACAACCAGAAACACATCATGCCACATTTGAACCCCTGATATGACCCTCTTAAATACTTCTATCAAGGTTTAATTTACAAACACTTCATCTCGGGGCTTCTCTTGTTATCTACCATATAGTTGCTCATGTCATGCATTCTCAGCATTGACCTAATGTTGCACAGGATGCACATTCACAGTTAGTTAGCAACATAAACATTATCATTCACCTAGCAGGTTTATTTCAACACTTGCAACATCAGAATGGTTGTGAATAGTTTGCCATGCAGGTCAGAACAAATTATCAACCTCCTTTCTTCGACATACTGTACTACTTACAAACTTAATACATTACCTGAAAGTGAATTATATTGTTACTATATTCTTAACATTACCTCAACAAGCAAGACAATATCTCAGAATAGGTATAGTAACCCCTAATATATTTACAATGTTTAGATACCACCTGAAAAAAAAATGTTTTGGTAATGAACAAGACGTTGGTCCAGGCATTTCCTGAGCATGGTAACTAACACTACTTTGACGACTGTACAGAGAAAACTTTACCTCTTCATTAACTCGGCCAAACTACATTAAACTTTCCCTTATGATGCATATATTCTGAGAGGTAGGATGAGGCTACTGTTCCTCATAGCCATGTTAAGTGAGTGATGGAACAAGTGGAACGAAACGGACAAAAACAAACATGTAACATGACCACACCTCAAACCCTCCCCCGCCACGCCCCAGGACACCCCCCCCTCTTCATTTCTCTGTATTCTACCACGCTTCACCCCCTCTCCTTCCTCCCCCCTGAACCCTACACCCCCTTCCCCAGTAAAACACGCTACACACACACTCTCTCTCTCCCCAGCCACACCTCCCACATAGATTCATTTAATTAACCAAATTCAAACTTTGATAAATAAAACAAAATAACGGGTTGCTAGTAATTTCTGATATTACTCTAATCTTAGTGAAATAATATGAATTAAAAAATCACGAATACAATAGCAAACTGGGAATGACAAAACAAAACATGTGAAAGAAAATGGCGTGAGGGACCAAACAAAAAACTTTCCACTTAGAAAACGGTTACTAAGAAGAAGTTTTCCTAGAACGGGTTAGGTGTGTAACGCACTAACACACACACATAATTTACCTTATTTATTATTATTATTAACATTACGGTATTATTATTACAGTACGATTATCATTTTATTTTAGTATTATTCCAGTATCATTATTACTACTAGGACCGCCATTAGTTTTTCCTTATCATTATCATCACCACCACCCACACATAAAACTGTACACACACTCAGCTGCATAAGAGTTAGGCATCTCCTTAACTTTATCAATAAACAAACACTATCACTTTACGGGCCCAAGGCTCTAACGCAGTTACCCCCAAACGTTAATAAACGTTTTCTAGTATAACATCTTTATCTACGGGTAACAGCGGTTAATGATAGCCAAGCCTGTGCAAATTCAACTCTGGTTAATGTTAGGTTTGTTGACGGCCGTGATTACATGAACCTCCTTATATTTTAAGGCTTATGTTAAATTCCTCAAGTGACCTGGTTTTAAAAGGTACAGTAGATTGACCAACAAAGACCTTTGTTTATCAAAGGTTTTCCCAGGTGCACCACACAGGAAATGGCCACCAAACGACACATTTTTGCGTGATATATAACATAATAATTAATTGGAGGTGTGAAATATATCTGTTTCTAATATACCAATTTGCATTTATATCACACCAGAAGATTAATAACCCTAGCTTATTTTACTTAATTAAACACCTTTACCTAACAACCAAAACTAATTCCCAGGTAGCATTAGGGCGTTTAATCATCAGGTGAAATAAATAGGGGTGCCAAATCCGCATGTAATCCCTGGTTCAATACAATATTAATCCTCGTTTATCTCAACCTTCAAGTGGTAATCCAATAAGTAATCCGAACTTATCCAACAAGCCAATACCAACCGTTGAGAATGATCCCCCTGTGTTTACGATCCTATCAGTTGTGTAACCGACCACTGGATCACCCCCCCCCCCACCTACGCCTCGCTATCCAGAGCTACTACTACACCAGTACCTCTCCTCGCTACAACTAACGCAAAAAGGCTACTAAATTATCAGTGACGCATTTTTTTTTAACGAGCGAGGGGTGGTGTGTGTTGGGCCAGTGTCGAGTTCTCCTCCAGGCGGGGATGGTGGACAGGTAGCGGGGGTAGTGGGGGGTAGTGGGGGGGTAGTGGCGGTGGTAGCGTAGGCGGTATGCGTGGGGGTGGTATAGTGTGGGGGGGATATATGGTGTGGGGGAGTATGGTATGGGGGAAGAAAGTGCCCAAAAGTATGGTGGTATGTGGGGGGATAGTGGCGGTAGTGTGTATGTATATATGTAGTGGTATAAGGGCAGTGTGGGGGGCAGTGGCGGTGGTAGCGCAGATAGTGGCGGTGGCAGCGTGGGGGCAGAAGGGGGGGATATATGTGGGGGATATATGGTAGTGGGGGGATAGTGGCGGGGCAGTGGGGCAGGGCAGGTAGCGGGGGGTAGGCGGTGGTAGCGTGGGGGAGGCAGAAGTATGGTGGGGTAGTGGGGGGGTGGTAGCGTGGGGGTAGTGGTATGGAGGGTGGGGGTAGTAGCGTGGAGGGTAGTGGTAGCGGGGTAGGGTGGGTAGGGTAGTGGTAGCGTGGGGTAGTGGTGGTAGCGTGGGAGGGTAGTAGGTAGCGTGGGAGGGTAGTGGTAGCGTGGGGGTAGTAGTGGATGTGGTGGTCTGGGTGTGGCGGTGTGTTAAAGTTTGCGATGATAGGAGTATGGTGTAGCGGTGTTAAGATGTGACATGCTGTAGTGGCTTGGGGTGGTATGGGCTGGGCGGGAGTTCATCTTGCCAACCGGCTAGAAGCGTAAAACAAAAACTCCCATATTCCACGGTGTCCAGATATACCATTATTCCTTCCCTTCTCTACCCCCATAACCTAACCTAACCTCACTTAACCTAACCTTAAAGCAGTAAGTATAAAGACACAGCCGACGGTATAAACCTCTAGTGAACAACGAACGAGGGAGAGATTTAACAGGGGTCGAGAAAGCTGGGGCGAAAAAAAATCAGCTGAGGAACGGATGGTGCTCTTGCGTGTGGGGGGGGGGGGGGGAAATGGTGGGGGGACGAGTGGTACAGTGGGAGGGGGGAGAGATGAACGAAGGTTGTACCCCCCCTCAGGCCACACCCCTCCACCGTCCAGTAGAAAAACAACAACTGTTTTAAAGGGACGTAAAGCTCGTAACCCACAGCTGTTCCCGCGTCTCACCATAACAACACACGCCCCCTCCCCCTAACACCTGTCACCACCGTTCCCTACACCGCCAACTCAACACAAAGCGCTTTTAATCCACATAGTGACCGCTGATTGTGGGATGGTGCGCCTTCCTATATACGGGGTGTTTACAAAGTCCCTTGGAGTTTGTTTACAGCCCTTTGAGGATAAGTATTCCACTGTTTTCAGTCGTCTATGTAACTATTCTTAACGACCGTTGGGGCAGTTTTTTTTAGTTTAACGCAAGAACACGCCACCGCCGCTCTTAATGACATCACGTTACTGCATGCAGCGACGCAGAGCTCCGTTGTGTTCACCCAACTGCATCCTCTTGCACCTGAGTCACAACATCACCCACATCCTCCCTCGTCTTTATTTCCTACATATTTATTTTTTCAACCGTCACTAGTTCAACCACGTCATTACACACATTCTCCCACCTCAGTTCATGCCGATAGCATTGTTCACTTACATCAGTATTATTGCATCGTGTATTGATTTTAACTTCAAATTACTAAATTGGTAAACACTGGTTTGGAAACAGTAGTGGATGAGTGGAACAAGTTACCAAATATCATCATTAACTCGAATACGCTGAATAGCTTCAAACATAGGTTGGATGCTTTTATGAACAATAGGGGTTGGGTATAAACGGGACTGCCCAGTATGGGTCAATAGGCCCGCTGCAGTTTCCTCCATTCTT